ATATTATCATAATCAATTGAAAATGCTTTTGTTGATGTATTATTTAACCAAAGTAGACGATATTCACTAATACCATATTGTGATGAATCACTATCCGTAGCTGTTTCCAATGGTACACGATGACCACGTGGTGCATTTTCAGCAATTGTTATTGTTGATTCTAATTGTGAGAATTTTGGTGCATTATCATTCAAATCGACACATGTTATAGGTAATGAAAGAATATAGTTGTACGGTGGTGTATCAATATTAGCGGTTAAAGTTATCGTAAAATTACATTGATTATTATTGTTAAGTTTTGGATCACAATTACATAAACGTTTTTTACAATATTCTTCTCGATCTACAATGGAAAAAAAACAACAACAACAACAACAATATTTAATAATTTTAAATCTATTTTCTTTCTTCTTCTTCTTTTTTTCTATACCTAAACGTGATTTTAAACGTATTGTTCCATTAATATATTCAAATGGTGCACTTGTTTGACTTTGTAAGAGAATAATTGCTGATGTTGAGTAATGTTCAGATCGAAAACCAAGTGTATTTAAATATGATTGAAGATCGACGAGAGTGGTGGATAATGGACTCTCTTCAAGTATAGATACGGATGGTAATATTTTTGAAATAATTGTTTCACAATATTGAATATTTAGAAATATTAATATAATTGATGGAAGTAATATTAATAGCATGGTTAAAAAAAAATTAGTAATTAAAATTGAACATTGACAGTGCGTGATTATTGAGAAGGATAAAGAAGAAAATACCTGATATATATGTCTGAAAAATTGTACAATAGAGCTATCTCATTCTCTCACTCTCTCTTTCTCTCTATACGATGAAAAAAAGAAGAAAAAAAAAAGGCAAAGAAAGAAAAATAGTAAAGAGAAGAGAATATGATGAGAGAAACAGAAAAAAATTTCACAGAAAGAAAATAAAATGATTTTTTAATCTGGAATAAATCAAAGAACAGTTCGATTAGGAGGATATTTTGAAGTAAATTTGAAGAAGGGTACTTAGTGTTCATCTCACATCATTTTTTCGTTTAGTAAGATTTAATGTACACATAATATTGTGTTGTCTTACGCTCGACTAGAACGTTTGAAAACTTTAAAAAAGTTAGTCTTGGATTTTATTACCAATTTTTGGTACTTTTTGGTAATAGTTATTGACTCGAAGTTGTTTATACATTAGAAAAAGTTCACTAGATTTTCTCGAACGAAACATCTCTAAGCTATATAAATTGAAATATAGTTTTATTTCAACTTTCTTCACTACATTCAGAATACAATTTTGAGAGATTAGTTTCTCAACAATAGTAGAAACAAAACATTCTCTAAATAAATTATTATTTAGTCTCTTAGTTGATATATAATAAGAAAAATGACTGTCTGGTTACTAGCAGACATTGTTCTCATCATCATAAATACTGTACAATGTTTTTCACCACTACAAACTTCTTTTCTTTTATTCTTCTATATAGGTTATATATTATATTAAGAAAATTATTATTGTCATTTATATATACATATATATATATATATATCATTTGAGTGATTGAAATGGAGTCAGATTTTTTAGTTTTTCTCTATCTTAAGCATAGACATATATCAACTAGTTTTGTTTAGAACTTATTTCTTACGGATAAATTATTTAATGAATAATACATACATATAATTTTTTATGTACGATTACATTATCCTGATATCAAGGATAATATGAGATGAACATCGATAAAAAACGTTTTCTTAAAAATAAACTGTTACTCAACGACACTAAAATTGCTGATGATAGAGCAGAGCAAAACATATACGGGACAGGAAATTTGATTTCATTAATGGGACGATGTTAATGACCATATAATTTGACTCGTCAGTTTTTCTTTTATTTTATTGCGTACAAAGCCTATTCTTCATGCATGAAATTTGAACAATCGGTTTCTTTCTATATATAGATATATATATATATATATGTTCAATTGTTCTAGATGGATAAGATAGTTTGTACTTGAAATAAAGTCACGCAATTTAATAGTGAGGACTACCATGCATGTTTTTTTAAGATGTGTATTTCTCTGTCGTCTTTCTCTTATCTATATGATAAGTGATTGTCTTTCATGACAGAAAAATCTCTTTTGTTTGTCATCGGAGTGTGTATAGACACAAATTTACGCAATAAAAAAATTCCACTTTTTTTTTTCTTCTAAATAATAAAGTCGGAGGTTAGACCTCCTGGATTAAATATTAAAAAAATTTTATGGTATGCGATCAGCTATGATAAAATGTTTAGGTAGAGTTCAGTACGTTTATGTTACTCTTCTGAAAAATACATATTATATTAACTTATTAAAAAAATAAACATATTTACTGTACCTCCCGAAACGAAATCAAATCTAATTTATTGAATAATTAATTATCTATGTAACTTTCTAATTAAAATTTTTGAACATCGATAAGATTTAATATATATTATCTCTGTTCAATTTTTCCAACTTATTTTATAATATAATTGAAAATAATCTTTTGTGTTGTCTGACTTAATTTTATTTATTTTTCTGTTCATTGCAACATATCCTATATACTTGACTCTTTTTGTTTTTTTTTATTGTTGTTAAATGTTCTACCGTTTTCTGTTTATCTCTATTTCTTTGTAAAAAAATTTACAGATGTAAATCGGTGTGGGGGAAAAAAATGAAGCCATATGTATAATTTCTCAAACAGAACTCTGACTGTAGACTTATAAACATACTCATTTAGACTATATTCTCATTTACATGACCACTGGCAATAATTCTCTCTTTGAACATAAAATTGATCTCTCTCTTTCTATACCGTTTTATGACTATATGAATGACACATGGTAATGATAATGGCAAATATTTTATTGCTCTGTCCACTTATAGATGGATATTGCGTGAAAATAGAGGTATCTACTTCTACTACTCATCCAGATTAAAAACTTTGATTATGTATTGATGTGAGAACAGAACGTGTGCAAGCGATTGATAATACACAGACAACAAAGCAAATCAATAAACATCAAAATAACAGAGAAGAAAAAAACGATTTAGAACTAATTGATTGATGTCATCAAATTAGATAACCGTATGTCTTATTTATTATCACAACAATTTAAAGAAATAAATATTTTGATAGTAATTGAACATGAACTCGACTAATTGTACAATCTCTAATATTAATCTTAACTCATACTTCAAACTTCTTATAGAAATAATACACAAAATGTGTCGGAATATACTCAATCCATGTTTTTTCGAGAATGAAAAAAATATTCCTGACACCTTCGCTTAGGACAATTTGTATCCGTAAGTTTTCTGACACTGAATTTGAAAATAAGAACATACTTTTGGTACTATTGCTTGATTTTATTTTATTTAACTGAGAAAAAAGTATCTCAGTTAATCAAAACATCTTCTATTCTTTTTTAAATGAATTTTACTTCCGATTATAGATGAACGATTTACACACACACTATTCTCTCTTTTTCTTTCTCTTTCTCTCTTTCTCTCAATTTATATATATATATATATATCTGTAAGGAGATTATAAATTGACACATGCAAGAACTTCTAATGATGCATGTTTAAAATCTATTACATCTCTATAACTGATAACTTACTAGTATGAGGTAGAATGATGATAATGTATATATAATGATTGTTAAATGAAATAAAAACAAAAAATGGGTGGGATTTACCATGTCTAGAATGAGAAAGAAAAAACGACGCTTGATTTATCTTTCGAACACGAATGAATGCGACAAAGAATTTGATCTAACATCAAACAACACCTTTTTCCCATTTTTTTTTCCAAAGAACACAAGTATTGTCTATATATATATATATATACCTCTATGATCATCCACTCATATCAAAAATTTTATAGTGTTCAATGTCATAGACCAGTTAATCAATCAGAACTGCGTCTCCAAACTGTTAGATAAAATTACTTTTCAATAACCTTGTTTTTTTTTTTCAATAATCGAATCTCAAATATTTTGTGCGTGTGTATGTGTGTGTGAACACTTTTATTGGGATTTAATTGCCACCCTTTTTTTAATATAAAATTTTCTTTAGTACCATAGAGAATTGTCTCAAAAAAGAGAAAAAAAAAATGAAACGTATTAGTTATGTAATGACAATCATATTATTAAATATGGATAAGTGTACACAAACACGAAGGTATATCGACAGGCAGATGGACGCACGAGGAAATAGAGAGAAAAATTAAATTATAAATTAAATGAAAAAAAAAGAAAAAAGAAGAAGAGTATGTGTGTTTAACTATCAGGAGAGACGTTTTATGTCAAAGCATCCTTTACACGAAACAACGTCGTAACCTTGTATTCGCATAAGAAAAAGTTTTTAAAAGTGATTTCTATCTACTCATTATAAAGCTTAACAAAAAATATTGACTATAAATGCAGTTTAAGAATTAAAACCATCTGTATATTTCATATATGTTAAATTATGCACGCTCTAATGATGATAACTATTTTACCTACTTAACTTTAAAGGTCTTATAGCTCTAAGTTCATAAGAGAACTTTAATTGAATATTTCCGTTGATCATTATATTTGTTTTGTTATGGTATAACGAAAGTAAATTGACTTGTTAATTGATTTTTTAGATCGTCTTGGCCATTGTCGATTAGTTATTCTCTTTATATAGAAGAGTAGAAAAGAGACCAGATAGATATATGTACATATAAGTTAATTTTTTATCTCTGTTATAAGTTTCTCTTATAATTATTATTCGTATAATATAAATTAAACTAAATTTATACTTTGATTCAACATGTTTCAAATATATCTGTACACATCCTGTTCATGTGACTTTACGTTATTCAACATGGTTCATAGTTTGTCAATATGTTGAGAGACAAAGAGAGAGAGAGAGAGCGAGAGAGAAAGAAAATCAACTACTATCACTTTAATTTTCGCAATATATTGGCCATAAATACCTTCGTCTCTTTACTTGTTCTCATTTCTAAAAACAAAAGCACAAGTTGCTGTTTTTGTAATGATAAATAATGTCTTTTCTTTTGTTGTCCATCATCATCACATGATTGACTATGTATCGACAAAGTAGTTTTCCCAACACAGTCGGATATCAAGTTAATTTGAACATATGCAATAAGTCAATTGCATAAGTTGTACAATGGCGTCCTAACGTGTTAATAAATGTCAATTGCACCTAAAAATAGTAGTCTATTCTTTAACTATAAAAAAAAAACTCATCGCTGTCATTTTGTTTTGTTTCGTATATATCCTTGTATATTCTGTGAATATCGATGTACAAACGAGTGTAATGAAGAGAATAATTGTAGTGATAATAGTTATACATACATATATATAGAGAGAGAGAGAAATATACACGTTCAATAGCAATGTGTTTACCAACAACAAAATAAGATTTTTTTGATGGTGTTTAATAGTTTAGATAGCTCTAAAAAATACTACAACTTGTAGTAGCGTTTTTTGTAAAGAGATCATTGTTGTCAGCTGGGTATCTAATAAATTGTGCTATTAACTTTTCCAAAAATTGGTATCATTTTACTTTTCCGTTATTGCTTTAAACTATTCAGATAGGGTAATTAGACCGTTTCAATTGTGTGTTTAGTGCCATACTTGACAGTGTACACACACACACACACACACACATACACACTGA